ATTTTAACAATTTCAACTCGTTCAGGAATGGAATAAACCATTTTTACAGTAAAGTTGAAATAATTTCAAAAGCAACCGAACTGAATCAATGAACGATTGCCTAAATTATTTTTGTACACTTATCTGCTGTTGTTATTTGAACCAAAAAACGCACGAGAGAAATTTAGGAATGTAGTAGTGATAAAAATGGCGTTTTTTCCGCATTTTCATTAACACCAAAAATATCTAGTAAATCTGATTAAAATCTGTTTTTCCGTTAACTAGCTGTCGCACCCCTATGAACCACAACCCTCAGAAGTCGAAACTTGTGCGAGCTAAGGATTAACGAGGTCTTACCTTTTAACGTGTGATTCCTAACACGGATTGGACGATAGCTTTTTTTATAACTATTCAAGTAAATACAACAAATCAGGTATCATTGGAAAGAGAATTTTGTGCCCTTTCAAATGATATTAAATAATCTGTTTACATACTGCTATTTTCAAATGCCCTTTTAAATGATATATCACTCGACCCCACTTTCCATTTAAAATTTTAGGGTTGTTACCCTCGCTAGGGGGTTGAGAAACAGGTAGAAAAATACATCTAAAATGTTTCCCCGTCAAAAGCAAAATTGACCTGTCAACTGGAGATGCCTGACGTCACAGCCAAGTCCACCTCCCAGCTGGATGCGATAGCAGATGTCGATACGAACAGGCAGTGGTCGTTGCGCTCTCGGAGAGGGCAGACGTTAGGCAGACAGTCCTCGGCCGCCTGCGTGTCACTATCGATAGCGATGCTAGAGCGGTGCGTTACGTCACAGCCTTCACTGTATTGAGAGAGGTGAGGGCACACCGATGAATACGCATTACTCAGCCACACGTCGTGAAGTGAACATCTTGCTCTCCTACCCTTGAACGGTTGTTGCTGTGACGTCACACCACTACTAACTTGGTGGGTTCATACCGATGGAACATTCATTACTTGAAGGATCTTCGAAGTATGCAGACGTATGTTTGTGCATAGACAAGCACATGATGAAAATCATGTACCGTGCATTATCACAAACACACCAATCAAATGTAATCACGTCACTATGTCACACACACAAAATCTCATATGAAAAAAATTCTGAACGATCCATGCACCAGACCCTTCAAGGTCACATCGCCTTGATGTTACTAAACAACAACAAAAAAAAAGCAATTAATACGTCATAGTGGTGGGGGGAGGCCCAGAACTGGTTGTAATCTACTACTAGAACTCATAACTATGGCCGATGGAATGATGAAACGAATTGCAAATACGGACGTTTGTTCTATTCAAACTGGTCAAAAAGAAAATCGCTTAGAAAATAAAATTGAGCAACTCATTCAAAAACTTGATGAGTCTCGTACCAGAAGACGCAGCCCAGTTTTTAGTCCAGGTCAAGATCAAGATTTAAATCAAAATCCAGGACTAAATCAAAATTCCAAGATTCAAACTATAACGATGAACTATGTTATTACCACGGACTCTTCAAAAATTCAGCTAGAAAATGTATCCAACCTTGTACTTTCGTCAAAATATCTTCGGAAAACCTATAGGCCAATCGTTAATGATGACTAGCGAAAATGGCCCAAATGAAAGTCGTCTCATAATTTTCGATCCTGAGTCCAAGATAAAATATTTAATTGACACATGTGCTGAAATATCATTAATACCAGTCTTAAATAAAACACTATATGCTGCTAATGGATCTAAAATAAAAACTTATGGAGAAATACTACTGACATTAACGTTAGGATTGAAAAGACAATTCAACTGGAAGTTTATCATAGCAGATGTTGATAAAGCCATAATTGGAGTAGATTTTCTGAAGAATTTTGGATTAACAGTTAATTTATCAAATGGAAAATTGGTTGATACTAAAACAAATTTAATGAGCAATGGTGAAATATTACTTGTTGATAAATGTTTCAGTAAAACAATAAACACTAATTGCCCTTATCGCAGACTTTTAATTGATTATCCTTATTTGACTAGTAAATGTCTAAATAAATTGAAAGAAAAAACAAATATTGTACATCAAATAATAACCAAAGGACAACCCAAACACTTCAAAGTTCGCAGACTTAATCCCCAAAATAAAAATGAACGATCAGTCCAGTCATCATGGAGAGATTACAAACACCTCTCATGTTTTTCTAAGAACAGATTGTGTTAAAAAACCATTGCAAACTCCTTATTCTGGTCCCTACAAGGTTTTAGAAAGAACCGAAAAATATTAATAAATTATGTAATTTATCTAGAAATAAAAAAATATAGTCAAATACATACATTAGAGTTGAATAAAAACTTCACATTTAATAAATTTCATTTATTGTTTATTGCTGCTTATTTCCAACCTAATGTTACGCCTCTGGTCAAACCACATTGGTGCCTGAACGGAACACGACGCTTGTCACATTACGAGTCCTCTCCCTTCTCTTGTCTAAGAATTACCCTAACATCAACACAGTATCACAGTATTTGTGACAGTATACTTATATAATAATATACTGTGACATCAAACTGACTATTTGCCACAAAACAGTTGTGCTATTTGCACTCGACGGACGTTTCGCTAACAGCGATGTTGCTAAACCCTTCTCTGCTCAAATATGGGTTCAGTTTTTATTAGATGGCAGCACTTGACGGGTGAAAATTCATTGAATAAGGAAAACACGTTTTATAGATTAGTCAAACATTATTTCATATTTCATTTCGTGAAGAAGTTGACTATATTTAATCGTATAATGTAGCTATCTTAAAAATTTTGAAATTCGACAAAGGACTAAAAAGTTGAAAAAATATATGGCAAAAAATGAGTTAGCGGCATTCTTCGTTACATTATCGATAACTTTCCCCTATACATATTTTTTATGTAACATCTCATTTCTTCACAGTGTTTTCGCGATTTTCAATATGGCGCTGCCACTCCATAGAGCTCTTTAAAAAATGCTTGAATATTTCTATAAGCCTATTTGCAAATTCATTATAATTTACCTTACAGTATGAAAATATGCTGTCCAGTTATGATTTTTTAAATTCAATAGCAAATAACTTTTGGCGGGAATAACTGTATCTAGGTGCAAATAAAACACAACTAGTTTGAACGGTGTCAATTTATTTGTCATTCATTACTGTCAACAGTAAGCACTGTCATCTGTCAGTCATTTGTTGATCATCCGGAGTAGCGTCTTGTTTCTGAAATCGATTTATAATTTAGAATATTTCACAATTACCATGTCGGATGACGAGATGGAAAAGTTTGAAATAACCGATTGGGATGTGGATAATGAGTTTAACATGTTCAGAAACAGAAAAAAAATTACGAAACATCATCAAATATATGGTAACACATAATAGCTTGAACCTAAATTTTTATACAATTCAGGATGACATTTGAGTTGAATTTTTTTCATTTAGGTATCTGGGCTGATGACAGTGATAATGAAGAAACGGAAAAGACATCATTCAAAACCAGAAAACTTCCAAAAAGTTATACAGCTCCCATCGGATTTGTCGCTGGTGGAGTTCAACAGGCTGGTAAAAAAGACAAAGAAAATGGTAGTGGTATTCTCAAAAAGGAAGAAAAGTCTGATGAAGAAGAACCAACCACTTCCTTTAAAACGATGAATAGCTCTGATGAATCGGAAGAGGAACACCCTCCTAGAGCAGGTAGCGCAAATTTATATTTCCAACTAAACTGAAATAAATTAACATCTATGAATTGAGAAAGACAGATATTTGAATGTCCTGTTATTCACACAGTCACAACTGGTAATTCATAATTATTAATTAACAGTACAGTTAAATATGGTGTGTAGGCTTTCAAGACTAGTGTTCAATAGATTATTTTTGGGTTAGGTTTGCCAGGCACCATCAAAGATAATGTGGCAATGGATCTTCATTATATACTTTTACCTCTAATGAAGCATATAGTTTTTTTTATACTGCCCAGTGTGAAAAGTGACAAAATTTGTTTTTGAAGTATTCAAAAAGTGGGAGTTGTCATATGATCATGATCAACCTTGCTACAAAAGCAGTTTGTGTATTGCGTAGTTCTTATCCTACATTATGCTATTACGTGACCATTGAAATAATTCAAAAGTCTAGTGTGTCATGTACTGATCTCAACAATTTCAATTGCTGTTCCTTTATTCTATGGCCGCTCTTTTCTAATCTCTGAAAGTGGATATGTGGAGGTGTTCTTTGAAATGAGTTTCAATAGGTCGTTCTGTGGTAAAAGACTCTGTCCACTTAAGTTATATTTCGCCGATGTACTATTGACATCAGTTTGTGTGACCAATAGCTATCTTCTGGGGTGGGTACAATTTGGTTTTAAATGTGCATCAAAATCTCATCTTAGTTAGTCGTACTAGATAAATTGAAAAATTTCAATACCAATAAAATGAATACAAATTATGGAAAACAATGAATTTTTCATAATTGGGTTATTATTCATAGCGAACTTTCAATTACTTTAGAACATTATTCTGTTGACCAGTTCAAAATAAAAATTAAAAAACACTTGATGACAGTCTTCTTTGTTCGAATCACTGTTACTTATATGTTTTGTATTCAGAAATATTTTATATCATAAACTTTGTTAAGGTCCGCAGAAATTTTGTATCTGCATAGTTGAGAAGACAATTGTAGTGATTTTTTTCTTACTTGCTACTAACTCAAAAGTATTAATGAGAAATCAACTCTTCACCTTTGATATTTATTTTAACTAATAATTTATATATGACAAACTTTATACTTTAATAAATATTAATGTTGGTCTTTTAAAACCAAAATTACATACAATTTGAAATTGTATGTAATTTGACACCAGATTCAAAAATTATATCATAACTTTATTTTACTTCGAAAAAGACCCATCCAATCAGTTATCAGTAAAATTATTCTTCTGCAGGTTTTGGTATCGATAGATCGAAGAAAACTATACAATCAACAGTGACAGAGATTACAGGAGATATTGCTGGTCTTCGAAAGAAAAATTCCACAAACCCTACTTTGATAAATAAGGGTGTAGGTCATTGGGAGAAGCATACAAAAGGTATAGGAGCAAAACTCCTTCTTCAGATGGGCTTCCAACCTGGCAAAGGTCTTGGAAAGGAATTACAGGGTATTTCTGCACCGGTTGAGGCTCATCTGAGAAAAGGACGAGGAGCAATAGGAGCTTATGGACCAGAGAAACCGGCCAGCATCCCAAAATTAAAGGCATATAATTTTTCAGTTACCTTTTTCTGATTCAATGTGCATGTTTTCACAATATATATGTAATTAAATTTTTCAGGAACAGTCAATTAAGTCGGAATTCGATGAAGACGAAACAAGCATGAAGAAGGGAGAGTCCAAATGGAAAAAAGCGGAACCGTTGAATAACAAAACCAGATATTACTACCGAAGTGTAGACGATGTTATTGAAAAAGGTAAACGTCCAGGAGCTTATAGAAATTTGGGAGTTACAAGGTAAACACTAATAGTTGAGGTTTATTTATCTTTTTTCCTCCTTATACTGGATTGTCTAATTTCATATTTATTTAATATGAAATAACTTTCTAGTTTTACTTTTATAGATTTTAGTACAACATACGTTCACTGGATTGGATACCATCAACCAGTTCTGTTATTTTCAGAATTCTCAAAAAATTAATGGAAGCTTTTATATGTTAACTATCACTTTAATGAAATGAATAAAAACACCTCTGTCTAAGTGATTATGAATTACCACAAAATAAAGAAGTCATCAATCACACAAATAGCAAGTTATAATAAATACAATTGTAATAAGTAACATATGCAACAGATTTTATTTTTAATTCACAAATATTGGAAGTTGAAAACTGTATAGATACATCCTTACTAAGGCTGTACCTATATTGAATCCATATTTCTCCCGCCCCGATGTGGGACGACCATCGGACGACATCGGAAGAAAAACAAACACTTAAGTTTTAAAGTAGGTGCCTTCATTGGAAAGGGTAGTCCGATACGACAATGAACGATCACTACCGATTACTGACCGATGAGTAGTCAAATGAAAAGTGTTTGTTTTTAGTCCGATCTTTCATTCCGACGGAGTGGTATAATAATGAATAATAAAATTGATAAAGAGATTTTGATAATTCTTGTGAGAGATGAGCCTCGCTTGTGGGACCAGCAAAACAAGGATTACCATAATAGTGATATTAAGCCTAAACTATGGGAGGTTATTGGAGACCAATTACTGGTAAAAAGGCTGATGCATGCTCTGAAGTTAGACTGGCCAGTTATGTCGTTTTTCATGCCTTCAAGAATCTAGTTGAACGTTTCCATAGTCATACGATGGTAGTTCTTTAATTTATCCGGGTAGTTTCTTATGAGTAGGAAAGATTTGAAAAATTCCCTTTCAGATTTATCTTCATTAAACTGATACACCCATACCTTTTTCCTATGTCTCCTATTAAAGAGAACATTATTTTCTTGTTTAAGCCACCACAAAAAAGCATCTTCAGAGTCACTCACAATTACCCCCAAAACACAACTTCATCGACCATCGAGCGTCCGATGGTCGTCCCACATCGGACGCCCGATGGTCGTCCTACATCGGGTCGAGAGAAATACGAAATCAATATAGGTGCAGCCTAACTGAGACTGTGACTGGTCGAAAACTTTTTACTTCGTAAATCACACGGTTCTACTGCAGATGTTTCATAAATATGGTTTTATCACTACAATAATTTATTTTTCAGAAACTTACAATAAAATGTATGCCACTCAATAAGATAAAAAATGAAAACGTCAACTCACACAAGCATATAAAATAATATTTAAAAATTTGTTACTTTTGCTTGCCGTAGTAGAACTAAAGCAAAAAACAATCAGATGGACACTTGACACCCAGAATGAGTTTTGTGCTACCTAAACGGGAAAACAGTGGACGTTTTTCACTTGCATAACAAGTGGTATACTCATGTAGAGTATATCCTCTCATAGGACTTTTTTTATATTGCTGGTTATATATACAAGGAAAGGTCAGAATGGACAGTCTTTTAAATATTGGTCTACAGCTACAGCAAGTCCATGTTATGTTAGTTTAAGAATATCCAAACAAGACAGTGCCCTGCAGTTTATGAATAACAAAGCAAAAACTGTTCAATTTGGATACTAGATTGTTTATATGAATTTTCTATGTAAGCTTGTGATCCACATAAATTCCAGGAAATTTAGTGCGATAACTTGCTCTATAGACCTAAGATTCATCCTTATTAATTGACTATAATCATAACGAATATTCTTTTGCTGCAATGAAATATAAAATTTCTTGTGTAAATTAACTTATAGTCCTTTATTCACAAACCACTCATAAAACATATTTGCTACAATATACTAGATTACTCTCGGCAATTCACTGATTAGTATCATCAGCATAAATGATTTATTCATTTTCGGATTTGCATGAATATGTTATATCAGTAATAAAAACAATAAAAAGTAAAGAACCCAGAACCGATCCCAGTAGTACACAACATTACACAAACAATAAGTAAAACATTACAGCGATTAGAAATGTTATTATTCTTTTGTATAAGTATCCTCTTACAGCTGCCGGACTGAGTCATGGTCGGTGAGAAGCCCCTCCCTCAAAATGTGCAGTAGATGTGTAGAAATCTGTTATCAGTCTGTTAGATTATTAATCTTCAATATGCGGGTAAACGCTAGTTCTTCATGAAATAAGGAATAATATACCACTATTTTTTTAAATATGTATTATAATCTAATTTATTTGCATTTACATTATTTAATATCTAAATGGAGAACGAGAAATAACTCTTGATATTCATTATCATTCTACGAGACAGTCATTTATGTGGTAACAATTCTTCTTTGACAGTGTAAATTTAGCTCTTTGACTCAAGAAGGTAGCAAGTTATATATATTGGCATCGATTGTACTTGTCATTATGTTAATTTTTCTTATAGACATATACTCTCGCTTCTTCATTATATTGGGGGATCAAAATGTTATAATAAAAAAAATTTACAATTTTTTTTGTTTTAGTGAACTCAGTAAAGTTAAAGTGATAGACATGACAGGACCCCAACAAAGAGTTTTAAGTGGCTATCACGCACTCAGTGGTCTGAAGGCACCACCAGGAGTTGAACACTATGAAGATGTGGTTCATAAGAAATGCTCAAATTTTGCTCTGCCAGAAATTCAACATAACTTGGATTTATTGGTTGACATGTGTGAACAGGTAAAACTTTTAGTTGCGTTTAATTTTTGTTTAGAAATCTATCAATTTGTAATTGTGTTTGAAGAGGTTGATTAGAATGGTTGTTCATAGTTGTGTCTGTATGGGTTGGTTTGTCGTAAATTGCAAAAATCATCTTTGTTGTTGATTTTTGTGATTTATTGTATTTTGGTGAATTGATGTGTTGGAGAAATTACTGTAATTGTCTATGTATCTGTGAAACAGGCTAAAACATCGTGTAAATATCTGTACCAATTAATGAATTTTTTGAAAGTTAGGTGTTGTCCAAAAATTTTTTCAAAGTTGTTCATGAAGCCTTCTTTATTGTTATATATGGTGTTATATATATTTAGACCAATTAGTGTATTACCAGCCTTTTCAAAATTGTTTGAAATGGCGATGTGCGACCGATTGATGAACTTCCTAAATAAGTGTAAAATAATTAATAACATTCAGCATGGATACATCAAGGGAAAATCAGTAGAGACAGCCATTATGCAATTTACGGAAAAAAATAGTAAAGTCATTTGAAAATAACCATTTATTGTTAGGCATTTTCTTGGATTTATCTAAAGCCTATGATTGTCTCAATCATAAATATCTACTTGAAAAACTCGAAAGGTATGGAATTCGTGGAATTGCATCAGATTGGTTCACATCATACCTAACAAATAGGCAACAAATAGTAAAAATATCAATTGATGGAAAGATAGTTAAATCTAACGTAAAAATAAATAACACTGGGGTTCCTCAAGGCAGTATAACAGGTCTAATTTTATTTGTACTCTTTATGAATGACATCTCGAAAATATTGCAGCATCCTGTTAATATATCTTGCAGCATCACTAAATATGCAGATGACACAAACTTATTAGTTACTAGTTCTAACTTATTTGATTTAACTTAACAGGCAAATTATTTCTTGAGTGAAGTAAGTAATTGGTTCGCAAAAAATAAACTTATATTGAATGTCCAGAAAACTAACATTATTTTGTTTCGAACTCAACAACAAAAAATAGATACACCAAGTAGTGTAAAATTGTCTGGTAGCGAAATGAAATTAAAAAAGAATTCAAAATTCTTGGGAGTATTTTTAGATGAGCATTTGCAGTGGAATATCCACAGAGAAAACTTAGCAAAAAAATTAAATAACTTATCTTACAGTTTAAGAGTAGTAAGTAAATATCTAAATGATTACTCATTAAAAATTATTTATATTGCAAATTTTAAAGCATCACTAAGATTTGGGATTATGTTTTGGGGATCGAACAGTCAGATGATTCATTTATTTACCATTCAGAAAAGAACAATAAGATGTTTATTTAAAATGAAATATCAAGAAACCTGTAGAGGAATTTTAAAAAAAAAATCACATACTGTGTATGCAATTTATATATATGAATGTGTACTATATCTGTATAAACATAAAAATAATTTTACAAAGTGTGTGGACCCTAATAATTATCAAACACGTAATTGTAGTAACATATCTTATCCAATACATAGATTAGTAGCAACTGAAAAACATTCCTCATATGCCTCTATACGACTTTTTAATAGACTACCAGAGAACATTAAAACCTTGAACATCAACAAATTTAAAACAAATGTTAAATCCTTCCTCATTGAAGTAGAACCATACAGTGTGGAAGACTTTCTAAATTATTCTTATTAGATATTAGATTTAAGAATTATGAAAATTGACACTGTTTCATTTTTTTGTTTTTCGCTGATTTGTGTAAAACACTCTTTGAAATAGAGATTATTAATATTATTGAATTCATAATCATTTTGGTTTACGCATTTGGCTAGTAGAAAGAGTACTCTCCTTGAGTTGGTGATTCATTTCCCGCAGTAGCTCCTTTTCCCAATCATCTGATTAGTCTATTAAATTGTCATTGGGGTTTCAACAATCATCAAAAGTATTTTTTTTAATTAAATTATGTGTATCAAAACAATATTTTGATTTTTTGTTAGCACAGATTGAATGGAATATAGATTTGCAGTGTATGCATTTGGTTTCTTTGTTTATCACATGTCTTTACAATACCTGCAAGACAGACTCAAAATCACATCTTCATTTTCCGTCATCTTTAAATTTATATTGATATTTATATCACAGATTTTTTAAAACTTCTCTTCTTCTTTACAATTTAATAACAACTGCCACTATTTTGAAACATTTCTTGGTGAATTTTATACTAGATATATGCCTGAATGGTCTGTCGGATTTTCAATTTGGTGTGTAATGTCAATTGTGTTTTGGAAAGAATCCACAAGATATTCTAAGAATATACTGTATTCTAAGAATACTGTATGCTCAGGTTTTCAACGCTCTCTACAGAAGGACTGGGGTATCTAGGTTAAGTGGCTGTATATCTTTATAAATGTATTTCCATTAGAGGAATGTCAAAAAAATACTATTAGAGTAGAAATATTTGCTGTCATTGGATTTTTGAACACAAATAATTTCAATTATTTACCAATACAGCACATATATCATTTCCTATTTCTATCAAGTTGTTACTACCCTGTTAAAATGTTCAGTGAAAGGTGTCAACAATATAGTTTGATATATCAATTCTTACTTAAGAAAAGGAGGAATTTTTTTCATTACTCAACTGATGATTAGGTCCATGAATCATTACAATATTTTTTCTTACTTGGTACTTTCACCTTTTACACCTAGAATTAAGACACTCCCTCTTTTTTATCCAGATCCTGGTAAAATCGGATATCTATCTACCTACTTTCACATAAAATTTGAGTATAAAATATTTATACTACAAATGATGTTTTTAGGACATAATAAAAATTGACAGGGATACTAGGCATAATGAAGATAGAATTGTAGTTCTTGAACAAGAAGAAAATGCATTGAAAGAAATTCTGAAGAAAGAAGATGTCTCTTTAGAGACCTTGAAGCAAGTGATGGACATTGTTAATAAGTTAATGAATCCCATGCAAGAATATTCTTTGGGTCAAGTTGCTAACATTTTCAAGGAACTACAGGTGAATGTGGTTCACATCAAAATTCAAAAAACTATCTAGCTTTCTAAACTAAAATTTCATTCTAGGAACAATATAATGAAGAATACTTTATGTACGAGTTGGGAGAATTAGCACCTGGCCTAATCAGCCCTCTTTTAACCTCGGCCCTAGCTAGTTGGAATCCTTTAACCAATCCCCAGCAATATCTCGACGTTTTCGAACAATGGAAGGACATCTTGGATAGGCCAAAACAACGTGGGAATCTTGAAGGTAATAAAATGGGAATACAGCCATATGATAGTCTCATTTGGCATACTTGGATGCCTGTTATGAGAACTTGCGTTAGGTAAGTTACACGCTTTAGTTTGTTTTCTAAGGGATCACAGTCTTGTAGGCTTCTGAATGTTTTTCTAAGTGGTGTCTTATCAGTTTATGATGAGACACTACATTTCTATAATCTGTATTGAAATGAAAAATAATATACTCCGCATTTTTTCATAGGTATAACAGTTTTTTTTTCAAATTACTCAAATTGGCTTAACAAATTTAATTTTATGACTCTTCCGCCAATCATAAAACTCGGTTAGTAAAACTGATCCAATACGCACCACCAATTCTACAGTCCACGTGGACTAGATCTCAGCCAGTTCATTTTCATGTATTGGTTTTTTGGCCTTTAAGAGTGCGTCTATCATCAAGTGTACACAAGATCGTTTACTTCGACTATAATTCAATTATTCATAAAAATAAAAACTACTTAACCCCCATCAAAATAGGATTTCGGTAGGGAAAGTCTACTACAACTGCACTTACAAGAAAGAGATGAAAAAAAAATTAATGCCATACACTTCTGTATTCACACAAGTCGGACACAGATCAGTAGTGACACTCTGATTCTCCAAGGCCTCAGAAATTTGGTGTTCAAAAATGTGCTGAAAATGTTGTTGCTTCAGTTTTTTCTTAGGAGGTTGAACAATAACTGGGAATTGTATTTCTGTTGTATTTTTGCAGCACATAATCACTCGAATGCCTCCCTTATTCACCAGATCTGACGGGAGTATCATGTCTTTCCTCAACGGGAAATAAATCTATAAATTTTCTTACAATTTTTTTTACCGTGCTAAGAATTACACGTTAAACGGTAAGACCTCGTTAAACCGTAGGCTCTCGCAAGTTTCGACATCTATAGTTTATATATGA